ACGAGTTCATGCAAAATGGTTCCTTGTCAAGCTTCCTTTTTGGAGTTCTAAGGCCTAGCTGGCCACAAAGATTGCAAATCGCATTAGGAATTGCGAAAGGACTCACATACTTGCATGAAGAATGCAGCATACAGATCATCCATTGTGACATCAAGCCTCATAACGTACTCCTGGATGATTCTTTCACTGCCAAAATATCTGATTTTGGGTTGGCAAAACTCTTGATCAACAACACCCGAACGCTGACCGGCATCAGAGGGACTAAAGGGTATGTTGCACCAGAGTGGTTCAAGAACACGCCGCTCACAGTGAAGGTAGATGTTTACAGTTTTGGAGTCATGTTGCTAGAGATCGTCACTTGCAGAAGATGTGTTGAAATTGAGATGGAGGATGCTGCAATATTGACAGAATGGGCTTATGAATGCTATAGTGAAGGCATAGCTGAAAAGCTGGTGGAAAATGATGAAGAGGCCAGAAGTGATCTTGGGAAGCTGGAGATGTTGTTGAAAGTGGCAATTTGGTGTGTACAAGATGAGCCATTGTTGAGACCTTCCATGAGGACGGTCTCCATGATGCTAGAAGGTGCTGTCCAGGTTCCTACTCCACCATGCCCTTTCCTAGCAAACCCACTGTCAAGATTTTGAAGTTTGATCCCATAATCATAGAGAAAACTTGTACTTTTACAAATTCACATAGTTTCAGTTCTCAAGTTTCCCAATACTTTGTGCCCAATCTCAGAGGTCAGAACAAGAGATTCCATGCACTTGCAAGGAAAAAAGAAATTGAACCATAATTAATGGTTATTTTTCTTTATGGAACATGCAACTCTTGACCATGTCCAACCAAATTAAGTGTCATAATTAAGACTATTAAATGTTTTAATTAAAGAACACAAATTAATTAAATTATGATATAATATTTAAATATTTGATAATAATGAATTTAATCTAATTAAATTAATTAGATATAATGTTAATATTAAAAAGAATAATATTCTTCTATTTATAAAAAAATTTGAATAAAGATAAAAATTAAATAACATTTAATATAAAATGGATAAGATTACAAATTACCATGTTGTTTACATAACTTGTTTATTAGGTTTTTTATTATTTATTTTAAAATTATATTATTTGACCTTACAATAAAGTTAACCTTACTGTAACTTTCATCCTGAGAAGAGTAAAATAATAAAATTAAGCAAAGACGAGTTCTAATGGATTGGAATTGCTTGAAGATATCGAAATAAAAGAATTTAAAGGCTTTAACAATACCAATAAGCAAGCATCTGAACACATTTCTTTGTTTAAAGATAAGTTTCAATAGTACACCACAAATAAGGCCTTTCAGCTTTAGGAATCAATGGAAATTCGTACATAAATCTGTACAAGATTGACGATTTATATTTTTTTCAAAGAGTTTAAATTCTACTAGGTTTCTCCATAAAAGCTTATGCTTATACCTTCCAATGAAAACAAGCCACTCTCTATCTAATTTAACAGTCTTTTACATTCATCTGGCATGTCTCCCCGATGTTAAATGAGAAATAAAAATCTTTTCCTCTCAAGTTACTATGTTTTATTCATAATTTTACATCATATGTCCGTTAAATTTATGTGAAATTATGAGTAAATTTACACCATAAGTTTTAGTTAAATTTTAGAAACATGCTTCTCCGGTTTTGGATAAGCCTGCTGACGGTAGACATCGAAATCACTCATAAACAATAACAAGATGTCACGTAAGTTGCGTCCGCATGATTTTCCATCTTCAGGAATGTTGATGGCTTTGATTGTTACTTGGTTATTTTTTCTGGTATGGATGATGTCGTCTTGATGGCTTATCGGGATCTCTTCTATGTTCTGCAAATCCCCACTGCTGGGAACTCTTTTTTTGTGTTCAAGCAAGTCACTTGTGACCTTACCCCCTGTAAGTCTCCCCTTGGAGATCTTTTATCGCAATAAAATCTCAGGCTTTCAAAAAGAAAATATAGTCACAGTTCTTCTGATAGAAAAGCTTGAGATCTTTCTATTTCCTGTTAGAATGTAGACATAAGAAGTAAACAAACTGACCCTGACCTGAAACTTCCAGAATCTGTGGAAAACAATGGACAATATTGCCTACATGTCAAAGTCTTTACCGTACCATTTCTGTTCTTCTCATTTTTCTAGGTGGGTTATAATCCTTTCCACTTTCCAGGAAGTTGTTCCTGGAATCCTAAGAGCATATAAATCCAACAGGCAACAAGCAACAGGCTCAGGCCTTTTTAAAGTGCCAACTGCCAGAGAAACTCTTGTATAAATCAGTCTGTTACCTCAAGGTTAAGCCCAAATTTTCATTTTGTCACACTTGAGAATCATACTTGAACTCCTACTGGGAGAGAGTCAATGATCTCACCACTTTCTCATTGTCATCCTTTCCTGGTTATCCTTTTAAGCATCCTTTGGATTTTGGCAACAGTTCAGGCTCAAGGCAATGTAAGTTTAGGCGATTTTCTATCTGCGAATGATGAAAACATTGCATGGCAATCACCATCCGGTGATTTTGCCTTTGGTTTTCATCCCATTCAGGATGAAGAAGATCAGTTCCTTCTTGCTATCTGGTATGCCAAGATACCTGACGGAACTATCGTTTGGTGTGCCAATAGACAGAATCCAGCTGAGAGAGAATCAAAGGTTGAGCTCACCAGCACCGGTCTTGTGCTCAAAGACCCTAAAGACAGAGTGCTGTGGAGGTCCAAAAGCCTTAACAATGATACTCAAGCATCACACGCAGCCATGCTTGATACAGGGAATTTTCTGATCGCAAGTAGAAACTCAGGCAACATATGGGAAAGCTTCAAATATCCAACTGACACCATCTTACCAACTCAAGAATTGGATGTTAATGGCAGTCTTTTATCAGCTTTGACAGAAAGAAGTTACCAGGATGGGAAATATCAGCTCCGTTTCAATGAAGGATCTCTCATACTTAATCGAATAGATATGTTCACTGGAAAACCTTACAACAATTATTTCATCCTTGGAGAAGGTTCTCGGTTGATCTTCAACCAGTCAGGGTATATCCAAATCCAGGATTCGAATGGAAGTCTAATCAACCTTGCACCAGAAAATGCTCCTACAGACCCAGATTCAAACTACTACAGGGCAATACTTAGTTTTAATGGAGTGTTTACCTTCTATTCTTATCCAAGGAACCCCGGTGGCAGTGAAAGCTGGTCTGCCTGGTGGTTTAGGCCAAAGGACATCTGCTCTAGCTTTGTAGACAGTACAGCCAGACTTGGAAATGGCCCTTGCGGTTATAACAGCATTTGCGAACCTCTCAATAATGGGAGGCCTAATTGCTCATGTCCACCAGGGTTTTCTTTCTTGGATGAAAGTAATCCATACAATGGCTGCAAACAAGATTACACAAGCTACCCGGAAGATTGCAACCTGGACGGATCCACCAGGGAGGAAGATCGCTTTGTATTCAAGTCAATGCAGTTTGTTGATTTTCCTTTCAGTGACTATGGAATATTGCAACCTGCAACTGAGTTTGAATGTAAGCAATCTTGCCTTCTTGACTGCTCCTGTGCAGTTGCCATTTTACAGGATCCAACTTTAAGTCAAGATGGCAGTGGAACCTGCTGGAAAAAGAAACTACCACTTTCAAATGGACACGTTAACAGAGAGACTATTGATAGAACATCTCTATTTAAGGTATTAAAGTCAGATGCCTCTAAGACTAACAAAAACCCAGCCACTCCAAATCCAAATGATGAAAATCAGAATCAAGTTATTTTGATCCTTGGAGTTCTCTTAGGCACCTCTGCAGTTTTCAACTTTTTTTCGTTAGCTGCAATTTTTCTCATCTTCTTTTGCTTGTACAAAAGAAGACTGCGGGTCTTCAACGGTATTCCTTCAAGAAGAGACTTAGAGACTAATCTACGTTCTTTCACATACAAAGACCTTGAACAAGCCACAAACAGATTCAAAGAAGAATTAGGAAGGGGGGCATTTGGTACGGTTTATAAAGGAGAACTGCCATCAAGTTTTGGAAATTGTGTTGCCGTCAAGAAACTAGGCAAGTTTGTTCAAGACGGTGAAAGGGAATTCAAAACAGAAGTGAAGGTGATTGCCCAAACTCACCACAAGAATTTGGTGAGATTAATTGGCTACTGTGATGAAGGTGAGCATCGACTTCTGGCATACGAGTTCATGCAAAATGGTTCCTTGTCAAGCTTCCTTTTTGGAGTTCTAAGG